TGTGTGTGTGTTGTTCATCCCACGCCAGCACCATACAACAAGCGAACAACACCCGGTGACACAAAGTGCCACAATTTGGATGAGGATCGCCCAGACATAAGTCCCAGAAACCCCGTTTAGCCGTTAGGTTATTTCAGCCCAACTCGACCCCCACCCCCCCCCCCCCCTCGCCACTACAGCCGGGTGGGGCTTTGAAATAACGAGAAATTGCATCCCGTAATGGGACGGGAGAAGTATGGCATTCAGCTTTTGCTTACTGCGATCACATGAGGAGCTAAACAACATAAATACTGCTGTTTGGACGGACCTGTTCACGTTTCACTTTCTCAGTCTGATCTAGGTCAAAGGGTGTCATGTTGTACTGCTTTCTTAGACATATGCTCAGGCTGTGGGTAGAGGGTTTGGGTTAGGTCCAGTTTTAGATGTTCTGTGATCGTTGAAAGCTGTGTCGTCGTGTAGTAAAGAACATGCTACATCGGCGCTGATGTAACTGGAGGCAAAACAAGTGATACCCTTCTGACGTAGCGGAGTCTGAGAAAGAATGAAGTTCAAACTGTGTGTAAATGGGCTGGAAAACGTGAACAGGACAGTTTGGATATCTGTCTGTTAGAATGCAGGATACAATGTATTATTTCATTATTATTGCGCAACTAAAACAAGCAAATAAGGGAGTGGGGCGCTAAAGATGCCTAAACTCCCTCCCAGATGCCATCGCCTATGTTCTTATTGACTGGCACCTTTCCGTCTTTCCAGACAATAGTGTTATATTTCACTACGAGGAGGCGTGAGAGTTACCGCCTATAGCGAAGGCGAGTGTGACTAGTAAGACCCGCCGGAATCATCATAAAGGGACTTGATTACCTTTTTTTTCCGCCGCACTGACATATTTATCACCTTTGGTCTGGTATGCCTTCATTCATCTTGTTTGCTTTATCTACCCTCATTACATCTATCTATGCATGTATCTTTGATATTTGATTAAATGAACTTCCACATCCTGTTCGCATTGTTACTAGCATATTACCCAGTTGTCTTTAGTAGCATTTAAGTGCATTATAAAGGTTAAAGGTCATAATATCCACGAGATGTCAGTCTCTGGGTATATGATCTATTTTCGTCCTTTTTAGGACGAAATATTTTGTCATTTGAAGCCCCACTCTGGCTCTTGCCAGGGGCCGCAATATAGTCAGGCCATACATATTGCCAATTGTCTGAACGCGGTTTCTGAGACTTCTCCACGGCGATCCTCTTCCACATGGTGGCACTTTGTGTCATCGGGTGTTTATCGCTTGTGTGATGTCCTAGTGGGGAAGAAAGTCAGTCAGTCAGATGTCAGTCTGCAAATATTTCTTGCCCTTTTTAGGATGAAACTTTTAGATGGAATCGAACCCGGCATCCCGGTATTACGAAACGTTCGAATCGATTTAGCCACAAAGCCGTGGTGTTATGACAGTACTCATGTTTAAAATATAACATAGCTGTGTGTTTGATGAAGTATACTTCTGTCTTATTATTCAGTCCACGCTGCCTCTTTTGCGACGTAGACAAGGGATCTTTAAGCCGGTGGATTTAGGACAGCGAGGTCGTGCTTTGGTCAAGAACTACAGGAAGTTGTTTCGGAAAACTCTTTGAACACAGCAAAATTGTCCAGTGACCATTAATATCTTAAAACCATCGTTTTCTCGAAATACTGTATTCATCAACAGCATCTTATCGTCATGGTCGTTTTCTTTGTTATCCTTATCGTTGTCATCATCATTATTATCATTATCCTTATATCATCATAATCGTGAACTTCGCAGAAAGTTATGTTCTGGTAGTTCGTCGACTTCCGGACTTAAGCCTTGTTCCAGAACTTGAGTTTTGCGTGCACATACGTTTTATAGATCTGCATTATTCAAGTGGAGACAGGACACAGTGGTCTTCGAGCACACTTGTACATGATAGGCATAAAAGAATCTGCTGCCTGTGATTGTGGAGCAGAAAGACAAACCCCAGTCCAGAGCACATACTACAGTACTGCCCTAACCTCTCCCAGCAAAGAATGTGGATCTGGCCCAAAGGAGCCACATTGCAAGAGAAGCTATGGGGGACCGGTAGCGACCTTAAACGCACAATCCTATTTGTGACCCAGACGGGACTCAATGTTTAGCATGACTGATGTCGAACGCAGAAGAAGAAGAAAAGTGGAGACTGTTGGTTCCGTGCCTTTCAGGCAGGTGCACTCTGACTTCGAAGGAACACAATCGATAAGTCTAGTTCTACTACATGCTAAACAGTGGGCAGTTAGTCTATCGTCGTTTTCATCGTCATAATCATCGTCGCAGTTGTCATCATCACCACCATCATCGTCACCACCATCATCGTCGTAGTCGTCATTGTAACCACCATCTTCAACGTAGTCGTCATCGTCACCACCATCATCGTCGTAGTCATCATCGTCACCACTATCATCGTCGTAGTCCTCATCGTCACCATTATCTTTGTCGTAGTCATCATCGTCACCACCATCATCGTCGTAGTCATCATCGTCACCACCATCATCGCTATAGTCGTTATCGTCATCACCATAGTCGTCATCGTCACTACCATTATGGTCACATCGTCGTAGTTGTCATCGTTACCACCATCATCGTTGTCATCGTCACCACTATCATCGCTATAGTCGTTATCGTCACCACCATTATGGTCATAACCATTGTCGAAGTTGTCATCGTCACCACTATGATCGTGATAATCATCGTCGTTAGTAGTCGTCATCGAAACCACTATCATCGTCACCCCCATCATCGTCATAATCATCGTCTTAGTCGTAGTCATGATCGTCACCGTCAACACAATAATCGTCATAATCATCATCTTCACCACCATCATCTTCACCACCATCATCGTCATAATCATCATCGTCATCATCAGCATCATCATCATCACCACCATTATCGTCTCCACCATCATCGCCGTCAATGGAGTTGTAATATTCCTCATAACTATCGTCGTTGGTATCATCATTGTGTCATCAGCATCGTCGCAATTGCGTTTTTCTTCGTCATCATCGTCCTCATTGTAATATTTAGTCATTGTAGTATTCATCACAAACGTCATCGTTGTCAGCAATGTCGTCGTCGTCTCTGTTATCGAATCGCAGGTATCACAACAGTTATTCTCAAATCTCAGTCTTTGAAAGCCCAGATTGCCAGGACAGACTTGAAAAATGGAAGATTGCAGCATCTCTAAAATCATCATCTGTGGTAAATTACAGAGGCATAAAAGATGACAATTTCAGCCTCCAATACAGTATAAACGTGTGTTGAATCGGGGCATTGACGTACATTCAGGGTGTCAGCTTGTCATGGACCATGCTGCAAAAAAAGGGGGGCAGGGGGAGAGTTAAGAAGGTAAAAGGAACAAAGGAGAAAATAATAATAGATAGGTCAGGAGCTGAGAGTCTCAGAAGAAGCACTCTAAATGCACGCGGTGGCAACAATCGATCTGAAAATGCTCTAATTCAGGAAGACATTTCCTGGCGCTAGGGGGGTCTTGCTAATCACACTAGCCGTCGCCTTGGGCAATGATTCCCACGCCTCCCTGTAGTGAACTACAGGACTATCGTCTGAAAATAAAAACAAGCTGCCAACAACAGTTCTAAATTGCTTTATGAATGGTTTGAAGCCCATAACAGCGTCGAAACGGCCTGTTGCTGAATCAGCCCCAAGTTACGGAATTGGGAAACTGCCCATAAACAAATTAAAGCACAGGTGCTGACTTGCTCTATCTACCCTGGTAGCTTTTCCATTATGGGGGATTACGTGTAATTGACATTATATGTTAAGGGTGGTAGAGAACTGAGATGTTTGGTTCTGTGCCAAATGGGTCTCTAGAACTGCTGTAACTTTGATGTGTATCTTGCTTGCAAGAAGTTAACTCAAACAAAAGACTACTGATTCCCCACATCAGAAGCATTCAATTCACACACCTAGGGCACATTATTCTGTGGGGGGGGGGGGGGCTGATAACAGGAAACATAGATTACAACAGTAGAGAGGAAGGAGGAGGAGGGAAAGTGAAAGAGAGAGGGAAGGAGAGAGAGAGAGAGATGGGATGTGAGAGAGAGTATGTGAGGGAGAGAAAGAGAGAGATGGAAATCTAACATCGTGACAGGGAAGAATTTGTGTATCAGAAAACAATGAAAAACGACTGGACGTACAGTTGCCTAGGAAAACCACAACAGCCTAAAAAATGCTGGAGTTGATTCTGCAATGTCCTGTAGAGGTTATGCAACTAACCAATGTATTTATATATATACAATTATTGCATTCAAACGATCCGATAATATTTTCAGCGGTTGTTTCATAAGCGTTGTACCTAATAAGGTTGATAAATGAGTGAGGTCAGCATATATATATATATATATATATATATATATATATATATATATATATATATATATATATATATATATATATATATATATATATATATATATACACACACACACACACACAAAGACATTTCCGACATTTTGTCAACACTTCAGTGATGACACCAGGGAAGCCCACAACACCTATTCCCCCGTATTTCTCATGCTTCTGTTTACAGTAGGGGTCAACGAAGTATGGGTAGATTTGATGAAGGTGAAGGTTAGGTATAGCAGCTTGTTCTGCTGATAATATGGTTTTAATTTTGAAGTATTTTGTGGAGACAACTGCCCGCATCAACTAACTCACCTCCTCTCGATGACCTCCATGTTTGTCAGTCCAAGGCCACTTATCCAACACACTCGCTGTTAATCTCTTTACCAAGGGCCACTCCAACATATGGACGCGAGAAAGTGAAGGACGGGTCCCCTACCTCAGGACATTTCAGGTAACAATGGTGATTATGAATCACCCGAAGACCAGTCACGTGTCGCACGTCTCGTGTCGTTTGGTCACATGACAGGCATTCGACGGGTATTAGAGGCGATGAGAACACGCTGTTTCTCAGTTTTGATCAGACAATTGATGAAACAAGTCCTCGACAAGATGAAGTTGGTATTGCTACTGTTGTGCCTGGTACTACACAGTGCTGTGTCTACCCCGACCCGATATGAGCCAAACTGGGAATCCCTTGATGCTCGACCTTTGCCAGGTATGCATTTATTTAAATTCATTTTTAAACTAAATCAAAAATAATCAGTTGACTGCTAAATGACAATTTAAAAATATGTAATAAAACTTTTACAATCAGGAAATTATAAAACCTCCACAGCTCGATAGCCTATAAAAATCGCTTTCCAGGTTCAAACTCAAACCATGTAAATATGGCCACAGTATTTCTCTCCAGAAAGCAAAGTAAAATTTATAAGATTATTTTTTGTTTGTTTAATAGGCACTCTTGCTTTGTCATCTCAAAAGATCACAAGATTTCTGGATTAGGCCTGTGTTCTTTTCTCATGCGATGAGGTCAAGCTTTGTGGGTATTTCTTTTTGACATTTCCTTGCTCTATTTCCATCAGTATTACTGGCTGTCGTTGTTGTTTTTAGGCACCTCTGATAGTTGCCTTATGCATTTGTACTTTACATTACTTTACATGTGCAAGCTTCAAGATTTTTCTGGGACTGACGAAGTTTACCAGTTGTTAAATGGTACATATATTTTGTGGGATTTCCACTGGCACAGGAAAAGAGTAGTTATAGAGTGACCCAACTGCAATGATTTTGAACCTTGATTAACAATTAACATGATTTCAAACTTAATTTTCTTTATAACATGCATGTTAAGTATTTTTTTTTTTACATCTATGTCCTCAACTTAATTTGTTGTGTCCCATCAGTTTCTTGAAGTGCATCTTCGCCTGCCCGTGATTTTCTTTGCATTTTTCTTAGAAAAGTAAACCCGCTGTCAGTAGACTAGATGTTTCTCATCTGATTCAACATCAGACTTCTCATTGCACTTCAAGTATATATGTTGAACAGGCATTGGGAAATAATGCAATGCCTTTCATATTTCCTTCAGCACCTGTAATTTACAGGTATTTCCAGTGTAAACAATTTGATGTTTCACAGCTGTTTGATTTACTCGTTCTTAATATATTTTTTATTAAGTGGATCAAGAATGCTGAAAACCCTGGACACACCATGATCAATAATTTCTTGCACATACTAGAAGTTCTCAAATATGGTTCTTATATTGATACAGTTTATAGTTCTTCTGTATTCTTTGAAACCTAGCTGAACTTGTTTTTTATATTCCAATTTCCTTTCCTTGCTGTTCGTGATTATTCAAAGAATATATAAGCATAATGCATCAGCGCAGTAGTATAACAGTTAATGCAGATTTTAACTTAAATGCCATTATTACATGGAATGCATACTTCCTAGTTTAATATACACACATCCACCTTATGTTAAATGAGCAGAAGCATGGTTTTACTTTGCAGTATGTGGCCTCTTGTTAACTTTTTACAGGGAGTATCGTTAGCAAGGTGGAGAATACTCCAGATAAAATACATGTTATTTGCATCAATGTATGTTGAAAGATGGATAAGTTCTGAGTGAATTAAACATGAGTATTGAATTTATTTGTAATTTCAATCTACAGAATGGTATGATGATGGAAAAATTGGAATCTTTATTCACTGGGGAGTTTTCTCTGTCCCTGCATATGGAAGTGAATGGTTCTGGTTTCAGTGGTTGGATGAAAAGAGATGGTACCTTCAAGATTTTATGAAAGATAACTACGCGCCAAGTTTCACATACCAAGACTTTGCTCCCATGTTCCATGCTGAGTTTTACGACCCAGACCATTGGGCTGATGTACTCCAAGCTTCAGGAGCAAGGTATGAATTCAGTCTGATTTGTATTTATCATTCGCCCTTTGCTCAACCAATGCTTACTTTATAGGTAGACAACAAATCAAATGATTTGGCCATGTAACAAGATTGGCATTAGATAGTGCACCATAGAGGAGCAATGTTTTACAACAGTTTTACAGCTACAGTGGTAACGAAGAGGTCAACAACGCAGATATACCTCCGAAATATCAGACACACTGAAAAGTACTTTACATGAAGTGAACAGAAGGGTCCGTTCTAGAGATTGCTTCCTGCCCTGAGTCCTGAGGTATTCCAGGAGTAGAGAAGATTCACCCTTAAAAGGGTGGTTGACATGTGTTATGGTTTACAGCTAGTCTGCAGTATATGCACCTTTCGACCCACAACATCCAATTGCATTGAATCCTTAGTCACTCTTTACAACCGGTTGTGGGGTAAAGAAAGAAGATGCACCAATCAACTCCGTGTATGGGGAGCATGAGACCCTAAAATGGCTGCTGCATTGCAGGATGGAGCATGAATGGGTCAGATCGATATGCTTAGGATATCAGCACGGACAAGTAACATGCTCGTTAAGGAGCAGTGTCTTTTTTTTTTTCCTGTTTTACCTAAAACCCACCCACCCCTTGACATGAGCTACCAAACTGACCCTGCCTTAGGGCATAAATTAAAGGCAACAGATGTGTCCACATTACCCATCTAGCACTTGTTAGGCTTTAACCCTCTTAGCACGGACGGGCCGATTATCGGCCGGCGGATGTCTGGCCAAAAACACGGAACGGCCGATGATCGGCCCGATCGTGTTTCACCTCGAACCGCTAAGAAATCTCCTACATTGAAACACTGAAAGTGATTCATTTATATTAACTGCGGTATCAGCTTTACACATGGCGACTTTCGAGTGTTTGGTATCGAAGTGAAAATTGTTGTTGAATTTTTTAGTGACCTGAACCGCTAAAAGTATGTCTGACTTGTATGTTTCTGCCCCTAAACTTGATGTTGATAAAACATTTGAATCAAGTGATGACACTAATTCTGTTGATACTGATGCAGGATTTAGTGTTAGTAGTAATAGTGGGAATCAGATGGGGACGCTGTTGTGTTCAGACCACAGCCCAACCATGGCTCAGGGTATATCCCCCGAAGGTGTTGACACCCGCCACATCCATTTCTAGTGCTGACTGATGGTGAAAAACACATGTCACCTAAAGATATTATTGCTGTTTCACATATATATACCTGTTTTTGACTATTGAATTGCTTACAACATTTGTAAAAAGGGCCTCAATAAAAAGATTTCAAATAAAAAAAAAATTTGCTTTTAGTTTTATGTTTCAAGCATTGAAGTTGAAAATTCAAATTCATATTTTCTATTTTTAGATATGCAAATGAGATAATTTGCATATACATCAATTAATTTTAACGATATTGTGAAAATCACGAACTTCAATCTATATCCTTCAAATAGATATATTATTTCATAGGGGTCAGAATAACAGAAATCTGTCAAAAAAATTAAAGTAATAACCAAATTCACTGAAGAAATGCTCCGTGTTTTTGGCTAGACCTCTGAAAAACTTCCCGTGCTAAAAGGGTTACAGAAATTAAGTTAGCACAAAATTATTCCTACACATCGACCCGTCAAAATTATTCCTACACATCGACCCGTCAACAGTTTTTTTTTTAATGCGTGAAAAATTGTGTACACATATATATGAGTATTGTCTTGTAAGGCCCACAATTCAACCCCTCCACCCCCACAGCCCCTTTTCCCATTTGGTTATCTTTTTATTCCCACCCTCTAAAACTCTTATAATTAATTGTTTCTATTTCAGTTAAATAAAGCTATTATTTTTATATTCTAAGTGCACAGTGCATGGCTGATCTGGCCTTCAGTCTTAGCTGCCAGCTAGAGGGAAGCTCTGACATGCAGACAGGCAAGAGAGGGGGTCGTGTCATTTTTGCAAACAAATGGTCTCTTTAATACTGGGGGGGGGGGGGGGGGGGGGGGGGGGGTTTGGAAAACAGAAGTATATGTGCAAAATAATGGAATTAACTAGCATTTACTGTTACTTTTATATGGGATATGTCTCTTGTTTATTTCATTTCATCTGTATTTCTGTACTGTCTGCTCCTATTAGCTACACATGTTTTAATCATGTTTTTTTTTCTCTTATTTGGTTGCAGCCATGTGGTGTTTGTAGCCAAGCATCATGAAGGTTACACAAACTGGCCCTCTAAATTCTCATTCAGCTGGAATTCTGAAGATGTTGGACCAAAGAAGGATTTAGTTGGTTAGTTATACATTTTTCTCCATCTTTTTATAATAGCAAGGCCTGGGTTTGAATACAAATGTTTCTGTTCAGCGCAAAATTACAATTGTAAACTTATTTTTAGAAAAGTGATACCTCAGGTGGAATCTCCAGTAAGGTGCAGAACAATGTTTTATGTTCGGAGCATAAATAAAATTCCAAACTTCAACAGATCATGATAATAATGGTTACTAGCCATATGGCCCTAAACCTTTAAAGACCAACCCTCCAACCCGGTCTACACCACTGAAAAAATGTTAATGCAGGCAGTAAAGTCGGTTGTTATTCATGTAGTAACTTACTTTACTTGAACGTGTCTTTAAATGCAATAACTGTCACATTTGTTTTGTTTTGTTCAATCTTAACATATTTAAACATTACTCATTTGCAAAATATTCAGTATATTTTAAGATGATTGGATAGGCTCGGCTAAGTCAAGTCTATTCTTTCTCAGATTTTCCTATTTTCAACTATTTTTCAACTCAGAGAAACGAAATGAAGTAATGTGGTTACATCAGGATTACCATATTCAGCCCTTCTTGGTAGTGGTGCAGACCCCAAAGAAAACAAGAGTTGTGGGGGAGTCTCAGTCCCTTTGCAAAATGTTTATGAGGAAAAAGGGGAGGGGGTGGGAGGATAATTGATTGGCAAATGAATATAAAATACATTTGAAATATGAAATGTAAAAATAAATACTTGAAACTTCTATAATGGTTTGTTTGATATAGGGAAGGGGTTACTAAGCTCTGAATAATTTATTGCAAAAGGGGGAGGGTGGGGCTCAGCCCCCACTGCTTCTGGGATTTAGTTAGAACATAGTGTATATTGCTATATCAGGCTGTGGATAAACTGGAGCTTATTAGTGCATATTTACAAACTCTGTAAACCTTGTTCAATCCCCAGTAGTAGTTGAATTGATTTCCCCTGAATATAGCAGCTACAGTTTTTTGTGAATCAGGAATGAGTGGAACAGCTCTCTGTCATTTGACTGTCCTCTCTCGGCGGAGCTGTGAAGTACTTTGTGGCCACACCCAGTCGACCTGACAATTAAGTTTTAGGGAGTCTGAGATGCCTTGAGATGACATCCCAGTTTATGGCCCACAGCGGATTGAGCCCATAGCCAGAGATCACTGAAGGAATTTTTTTAATCGTAGGGCCAACCTAAAATCATGATATGGAAACAGATAATTTTGGGGGAAATATTTAGGAAGAAAGGAACTGATCAATCATCCTTGTCTGTTTTATCATGATTTAACTCTTTCAGTACCAAACAGTGCACCGTGTGTGTCTGGATTGATTCATGTACACGAGGCGGAATATGATACACTGTGCACATTGTATGTTTAGTCATGGGACAGGAAAAGACACGCTAACACACCCATCTCCTACAAGGGTTTTGTATATTTAGTTCATGTGGATGTTGTATACCCATGATTTTGTTGCTGTCATAACTGCCTTATTTAGACATCAGCTATAACATCCTGGGACTGAAGGAGTTAAGTGTTCTGATCTAGCAGTTTTTGTGTGTGTGGGACAATGCTTGCTGATGAAGTGTTGGGCCGCACATCCCCACCTTCCACAACACCAAACTGCAAAATGATGATTTATTCACATACTAGGTTAGTTGCGTATTCTTTACAGGACGTTGCAGAACCAACCCTAGCAGCCCCTGGCTGTTGTGTGGTTTCTCTAGGCAAATTTACGTACAGTAGTTATTCACATACTAGAGGTTTAAATTATATCTCTTCGTATTTTAATATCTTCTTCTGCATTCTCTATTACAAGGCGGTCAGCGTGCAATGATGATCCTAATTTTTCTTTACATGTGGTTTGGTATTTTTCTTTAAGGTTTGTTGGCAGACGCTGTACGTGCAAAAACCAATCTCAAGTTTGGTCTCTACCATTCCATGTTTGAGTGGTACCATCCTTTATTTCTGCAAGATCAAGCCAATGGCTTCAAAACACAGGATTTTGTCCAGGTAAAGAACATTAGAAGTCGGTTGTGAAGGAAGTGGAAATCAAAGGGGAAACTGAATAACCCCTGATTTTGTGGAAAGAAATTACTTTTTCATGTTCCAACAGCTGTAAACTCTGGGGAAAAGTTCTGATTATTCATCCGCTTGCGGAGTCTTGTTCCTCAGTATGAATTTTGAATGCAGACTGTTGGTTCCTTGCCTCTCAGGCAGATATACTCTGACTTTGAAGGAAGCACCTAATTATAGTCAACTCTGACAGCATGCTTTTTAGCAAGGCAGTTGGTCTCTTCTAGCATTTATGAATCAAACGAGACAGACGAAACAGTAAAAACTTTCAAGGCATTATGTGACAATAGACCAGTGCTGGGCCATTACCAACCTCCCGCCCTTCCACAACATTGTCAGAATGATTTATTCACATACTAGAGATTTAAATTATATCGGTCTATATTTCTGTTTATTTTATCTTCTTCTGCATTCTCTATTGCAAGGCGGTCAGCATGCAGTTCACAGCTAGGCTGTGATGTCATCATCTTATGTCCCAACATAATTGATTTCAACAAATCCTCCGCTAGTTGCCTTTTGTGACATGCTTGTTATTAAGCAGTGGGTCCATTTTATGTTCTTGTTCCCCCCCCCCCCCCCCCCCCCCCACCTTTTTTTTCCCTTAACCATGAGGATTCAGAATCTATACACAGGGATCAATATACACGTGAGTGCATAACTTACCCCAAAAACTTAACACTTTATTGGAACATAACATGTTTTATTTTGCTTTCTTTAAACAGGCCAAAACCATGCCAGAACTTTATGAGCTTGTAAACAAGTATAAGCCAGAGATTGTTTGGTCTGATGGAGAATGGTTGGCTACAGATCAATACTGGAACTCCACTGAGTTTATTGCCTGGCTTTATAATGACAGGTAACTATAGAAATTCTATCTTTATATATATATATATATATAATATGGGAGAAAAGGATCAAAGTATGTCATGTGCCTCCTAGAAGACATGGGCCTGTCTTTCCCATTTTGCTGGTTACATTTAAGGGGTCGGATCCATGATATCAAATAAAAGATTTCAACTCTGGAATGCGATCTTTTTTATGATCTTCTTTTTTGTCATTTCACTGACATGTTACGGTTGTAGATTCTCCTGTGGCTTAGCTGATGGATTTGTTCATCTTTTTGTAGGTTTCAGAAACACCATTCATCCTTCTTTCTTGGCCTTCATCTCACCTTCTTTCCAAATGTTCTGCTGTAAAAAGTTTCAAATGCAGTTTGGTCTGGCCACATTCCCATTAGAGGGCTGAACCATTTCATTCTTTGTCTAACAGTATAATAATTCAGACATTGTTTTGTTTCAACTTTCTCTCTAATGCTTGTATTTGTAATCCTGTTCCTTGTTTTTAATAGCCTCACAAAGGTTGCAAGAAAAGTTCTGTTCTAGTGCCCTACTCATTATCCATGTTTAGCACTGCAGTAGGTGTGACACTACATGCCTGGCAAAAGTATCTAGGGTATAATTATCCTTTAGTCACATCAGTTCCATCAGACAAAATGGCTGTTGGGTTCCTGCAGGAGAGTAAAGATTAAAATGACCACAGAAACATAACAAGCCTCTCCCCTAAAAGTGACAAGTTGTATCGTAACAATGGAGAAGGCCTAAGAGTATGTAACTTCAAGTATGTTCTGGTAGTGCAGTCAGTCTTATTTACATATGCACGTTCACAGTGTTTAGTCTCTTTCAGCAAAATGTATGTATTACGGGTGTACCTGTATTACACTGCCAGAATACATTTCTTGTTCAGAGTTTGAGAGCTACCATGGTATGTGAGTAGTTTGTCCCCTCAATGATTGCAGTTTAAAGGAAAAGAATCCTGGAATCCCTGCTCACTCGTGTAGCTGTTATATTGGGTGCCCCTCACGATTACATAGTAACCCAAGGTCCAGAATGGGCAGGGTGTATGTACTGAGAGAGCTAGCTTTAATGTCAAGGGTACTGGGCACCCTGTATGCTGTAACAGCAAGTAAAGGACCCTTTCCTACATCTTTAGGCATATTGGGCTAGATCTATATTTTATAGACCAATAGGCACTTGATGTTGATGTGGTCAGCATCATGCTAGCCACATTAACTTCCCAGGACTTTACCTGTTACAGATTCAAGGTTGGGAGCAAAGGTCATTTTTTTTAGAGACAAATGTGGGCTCTGTCAGGACCTGAACACACAAACTCTGTATGCTGTACCAAATTTAAAGAACATAATTGAGTCATTTAGCCGACTTGTTACAGCAGACTGAGAGACATTACAGATAAATGCATGCTAAGCTGTTATTGTATTTCAGTCCAGTGAAGGACACTGTGGTTGTAAATGACAGATGGGGAAACAACACTCGCTGCGCCCATGGAGGATTCTGGAATTGCAAAGACCATTATGTCCCAAGTACGTTAACAATATTAAAATTTGCACTTTTTCTTTGACAACTCCTCTCTTCCCCCCCCCCCCCCCCCCCCCCCCTTTACTCCCAGAAAAATATTTCTTATTTTGTATCTTTGTAATGTTGTTCTTTATAGTTCTGTTTTTAAACATTGTCACTTAGTAGACTACCATGTTGTTGTTATTCCAAGAAACTTACAATGAAGGCCAAAAAAAAAACAGATCTGATAGTGATGCCCCCACCCCAGGCAGATCACAAAACCTGATCTGGGGAAGAGAACGACTGAGGAAGATTTGCTAATAAATAGCTTCTTGTCTAGTAAGCTGAAATATTTTGCCATATCAAGCACCTCAGCAGACTAGAAAAAAAAAAATAAAGCAGAAGGCATGGTACCAGGAAGGAGGGGCAGGGGCTGATGCACATGATGTGCACAGGAATTAAGTTTTCTTGGATTTAAAAGTACATGAGGTAGGAGAGCTGGCGAGGGATGAGTGTCTTTTCAGGCATACTGATGACATTTTGCAAAGGACCTGGTAAAAGGTTGATTTCATTTAGTGATTTCATTTTATGCCAAGAATTTTTCTGATTCATGTTTAATAAACAAAATGGTGCAAGAATCCCTTCAAGCCGTTGGAATATCCGGCGTATTACTGATACTTCTATAGACCAGGTGACACTTGATGGCTGATGTGGGCAACCTCACATTGACTGCCTATGCTTGCTGGCATATTTCTGGGTGGGAGCCTTAAGTCAGTTATAAAAATCCAGTGTTCTGGATTTGAACACTTTTATCCTGGCAGGCGTGGCGTGTCTAGCCATTGCTACCCTAGGCTATTGATTCAGATTTGCAACTAGAAATAACCCACTGAATGTTCGGCTGGTACTATTTTTATTTTGGGAAAGCATTAAAAGTGTTAGTATTATGTACTTTATTTGTTTTAGACTTCATATTCTTTTCTTTTTAAGTTTTTAAAATTCAGAATTGGGGGGAGGGGGAGTTTGGATATTTTGTTTTAAAAAGTCTCTGTACAAATTATTTGCCCTGTTGTCCTGGTTAAATAATTTATAAAATGTAACGTCTTTTTCTAGGTACACTTGTACCACACAAATGGGAGAGTTGCTTGACTATTGATAGGAAGTCATGGGGATACCGAGCAGATACTGTACTGGAAGATGTTTACACAATTGAAGAACTAATAGATGAGGTGATCTTTACAATCAGGTCAGCCATATTGTAAATCTATTTAAAAGTAGTAATAGTATTGATTTCAACAAGTTTGTGTGCTTTAATTTAGCCAACTTTGTGTGTCCATTATTATCCATTTTTATGAAGCTGCTTTTACCAGCTGGAGTAGCGAGACAAGATAACCATGCAAAAGTCAAACGTTGTTACATCAGCTCGAACAGGATGTGACTTGTCAAGCCATTTGCCTCTACATCAAAAAGTTGTTGGTTGGTTGCATAGGCATAATTGGTTATAGAGTGCAGTTTTTATGGTGATCTCTGGGGAGTCGTTGCTGAAGCTGTGCAGTTTGTGCTTTGTACAGTGCCCATAACAAGTGGCTAGTCACTCTGCAAGGAGACCAAGCTGTATGAGATACACATTGCAGTGAAGTCAATCCTTTTGACTTTAACTTTGCCTTCCACATCATTGAGATGTACACTTTTTTTTTTATGTATGCAAGCTTTTTCAATGCTGATGATCTGAATGACTGATGATTATACAGATAAAATCAAGACTTCCAAGACCGTTCGTCGGAGGATAGCCTGTAATTATTATTATAATCACCACAAACAACCTGCAGCTTGACGTTTGTGTGAATGCAACTCCCCGTGGGTTGCAGATGTGATTTGTTCACAAACTACAATTTCTGAAATCTTCTCCTTGGCCACTTTTCTGTTGCGGCATATTATAACAAACCTCTTTATTTCACAGCAGAGACAGTCTCTTCTCTGATTAGGCCAACTGCATGCACTTTCCCCTTCTTGGGGCCACTCATGCTCACCTTGTGTGCATTTAAAATCTCTTATTTCATATGAAAGAAAAGGGGAATCTGAAAGCATATCCTTAATATGCCTTAGCTTCGTCTTTGTTCACCCTTGGAGTAGCTGGCTGATTGTTTTGCAGTTTATAGCTATATCCTCCGCCTTTCAGATTATCTCATTTCAGCAAAACTACAATTGCTTTGCCTTTTACAAAATGCTGGTTAAAGTGTAATAGGATTACAACTCCTCTCCCTTTACACCCCCCCCCCCCCCCCCCCCAAAGGGGTCCTGTAATCTGACCTTTAATCTCTGTCTTGATAATTTTGCCTTTAAACATCTGTTTGTTGAGACAAGGTGTTCATATTTTTCTTTGCTGTTTATTACTGAGAATATATTTGTTTTCAGTCTTGGTGGAAACATCTTGATTAATATTGGCCCTACTTCTCGTGGAGAAATTCCTCCTGTTTTCGAAGAAAGACTGCGCCAGCTTGGAAAATGGTTGAAAGTCAACGGAGAAGCCATATACAAAACCCATGTATGGTCAAATCAGTCAGATATTGTTGCTAAGGATGTCAGGTGTGTATTTTTGTTTACTCATACTTAAAACTTTTCTGTATTGTATTAAGTTTTATCGTAATCGCTGAGGCTTGGGCCTGTTGAAATATTTATCTTCATAAAAGATTCAATATTTACTTTCACAAATCATAGATTTAACAAAGAATTCTATTAATTTATTAACATGATGCTTTAAAATAACTGATGTAAGATCAATACAACTGGCAATGATGTGCTGGCCACTTCCTAGGCTTCTGCTGCCAGATTTAGCCCGTGAGCTGCCAGTTAAATAGCCCTGCCCTCCTAAACTATAGCTTATTTAGCTCATACCTAAAACCAGCACTGGCTCACTATCTATTCCTAAAGACAACAGTGGCTGCATTGCAACCATCCTCATTTGAAGGGACAGCATATTTCTTGTCCATTTGGGTCAGGTGTTTATATATAGTAAATTGTTTTAATCCATTCTTAAAAGGTACAACTCGCTTGGGGACAGGACATTTCTTTCAGGCTTGGTTTAAACATTAATATATTGTGAAATAGGTTAGTTGTGTATCCTTTGCAGGACGTTGCAGAACCAGCTCCTGGCTGTTGTGTGATTTAAGCAAATTTATGTCCAGTAGTTTTCCTTGCTTTCTGGACAATCGACTTCTTGATACCACTGTTGAAACCAATGCAAGGCTCATGGCTTGCAGCTGGAATCGAACCCGGCATTACGAAGCGTTCGCATCAACTTAGCCACAGAGCCAACTTAATATATAGTCAATTGTTTCAATCCACTCTTAAAAGGTACAACTCATTTGGGGACAGGACATTGTTTCATACTTGGTTTAAACATTAATATATAATAAATTGTTTTATTCCTGTCTTTAAAGGTACAACTCAGTGTGGGGACAGAACATTTCTTTCTTCTTTTTAAGCATTCCAGGCCCTTGCTGTTCATTGCTGCAGATATCACCCGCCTCCACCCATCTCTCTGGTTGGCCTTCTTTTTTTCAGTTTGTAACACTGCAGGTCTCTCTGGACATTATTTCGCTCGTCTTCTTGGTACATTTCTGTCATGCTTGATTGAAGTATAGTAAATCTTCTTCTTCTTTCGTTCACATGAAATAAATTGTCTATATCTGCAAAGCCGTCTCTTGTATGAATTTCACTGTCTTTTGTAATTCACTAAGCGGCCCGTAAAGTTTGACTTCCACAAGTGTCTCTTTTGGCCAAATGTTTTGCCTGAAAGCGTTGAATATGGGACAGTCTTGAAGGATGTGATCTGTTGTTTCAGGTGCCAGTCCACAAGTACACATGGCCGATTGGCCAATCTTAAATTTGTTGTACATGTGGGAGCGAAGTCTATTGTGCCCTGTTCTAAGGCGAAGGATAATAACTTGCTCTGGTCTGTCCATAATATGGTAATCATCTTGTGCCAGTTTCTGTGGCATTCTGATTGATTTGATCATTCTCTTCTTCTGTTGATAAGAGACTGGTATGTCAGGTTGTTCTTCAGTTGCACCTTCCTTAGCTAGTTTATCAGCTTTTTCGTTTCCGGAAACTCCACAGTGGGAAGGTATCCACTGCATTACTAATTTACAGCGGTTGCCTAGTTCGGATAATAGTGTCCGTATGCTTGGTAATTTTCCAGACTGGAGTGACTGAAGTACTGCTTTTGCATCTGTCAGGAATACCACTGGTTGTGAAAAATACCCTGTATTTAGTAGTTTCTCTACCGCTATCTTGATGGCTTGAACTTCTGCATCATAGTTGTGACAGTGCTTTCCCGTTGGTAATTTGGCTGTATTCCTGGTATTATTAGGATACTCAATGTACACTCCCGCACCTCCGTTTCTGACTGCGCTTTCTGCTGACCCATCTGTGTAAACACGGACCCAAAGGTTCTGCAGGTATTCATCATCAAGTAAACTGAGGGTGGCTGTTTTGCGCTGCACACTGTTTTGTTCTTCCTTGTCAAATACCCCTTTCACTTCAGTCTTGATGTGTATTGGAAACTTATACTCCTCTCCAGGGGTCCGTTCTGGGACAGCATTTAAGGATCTATCAGTTGCAGGTAAATCAGTGGTTTGTCTGCCGAGCTGTTTGGCCTGGTGGATAAAACTACTTCTCTTTAGTCGTCCCAAAGCTAAATTTTTGAATCTTTCATTCATAGGGTGACTGGGCATACTAAGAAACTTTTCTGCTTGTAAAAGCATCTTGGTGTCTCTGCGTTCACTTAGTGCTTGGGTCATCCCCATTTTCTCCATCACAGCTATAGGTGTTGATTTCATACTGCCTGTGGTAACTCTGAGTGCTTGATTTTGCACTTTGTCTAATTCTTGCAATGTGGTTTTTGATGCCGAACTCCATGCTGTTGATCCGTATTCAAGATGTGGTCGAACACTTTGTTGGTAAACTTTTCTAAGTATTTTCCCGCTAGCACCCCATGTGGTTCCACTTAGTTTTCTCAGAATGGCTACCCTCCTTCTGGCTTTGGTTGCTGCCTTGTTGATGTGTTTTCTCCATGTTAATCTATCATCAAACGTTACACCGAGGTATGTGGGCTCCTTATCCTCTCTCAGGGGTACTCCATTTATGTGCATGGCGCCTGATTTTTGTTTAGGAGAAAGGGTAAAGAGAGTGGTGCTGCATTTGCCTATGTTGATGCTGACACACCATTTGTCGGCCCATTTAGCCATTGCATCTATGGCTCTTTGTAGCAGTCTGGTGGCCACTGTCGCATTTTCATTTGTACACCAGAGTACCAAGTCATCAGCATACATTGCAGCTTTAATTCCATGGGGTAGTTCAGAAAGCAGGTCGTTGATATAGACTAGGAAGAGTGTGGGGGACAGGACACCTCCTTGTGGGACGCCATGGCGCAGCAAAACTTTCTTGCTCTTAAGTCCATCTATCTGTACTCGGGATCTTCTGTTATACAAGTATGCTTTGACCCATTTGTACATACTCCCATTCACCCTGCAGTCTCTGTTTCTTCAGTAGACCTTCTTTCCAGACCTTGTCAAGGGCTTTCTTCAGATCTATCCATGCCGTTAGCACTAGCTTCTTTTCCTGGAAGGCATCCTCAATTTCTTGTGAAAGGTAAGTTGTCTGGTCTTCTGTGGAGTAGCACTGTCTAAATCCTGCCTGCTGCGGCGTGAAAATGTTTTCACTTTCTAAGTACCATTGGAGTCTAAGGTTGACCATACGTTCCATTGTTTTACAGAGGCAGCTGGTAAGACTGATCGGTCTATAGCTGGAGGCATCAGAACTGTCCTTTCCTGGTTTAAGCAGAGGTATTGTGATTGCTTCTCTCCATATTTGAGGAACTTTGCCACTGGTCCAACGATGATTAAAGATCTGTAGCAGCTTTATTTTGGCAGTTGTTCCAAGGTTCTTGATCATTTCGTTGGTGATTCCATCAGTTCGTTGGTGATTCCATCAGTTCCAGGTGATTTTCCCATTCTCAGCTTTGATATTGCTAATTCTAACTCGCTGGATGTAAATGCTGCCACCAGTGCCTCAGGAATTATATCTTTTTGTCTTGTATGTTGTTTGTTTTCTTGAACCTCTCGCTGTTTCTCTGGGCTGACATTAATGTTGCTGTCTTTTGCAAAGGAATCTGCAAAGTGGTCAGCTGCCTGTTTTCTTGTTAGGATGGCTCCCTCTTTGCACAGTGCAATATAACCATTTCTCCCTGTATTCTCATCATTAATTTGCTTAATTAACCTCCACAACTTCCTTGTGTCTCTTTCAAAGTTTAGGGACTTTGTCTTTTCCTGCCAGCTTCTCCGTCTAGCCTGCAGTTTGGCTCTTTGAAATTTGGCCTTTGAATGTTGGTAGTTGTTAAACTGCTCTTGACAAGGTCTGGTCTCAGCCTGTTTTCTTTCTGTTTCCATATTGTTGTGCAGTTGCTCCAGATCGCAATTCCAGTACGGTTTGTATTGTTTACGCGCACCTCTTGGAACTGCTTCTAGGGCTGCCTGCAGTATGTGTTTGCTCAACTCTTGGACTACTTTTTCTACGTCGTTATCTGTGTTAAGATTTTCCAGCAGAATATTTGTGCGAAGCTGATATAACTTCCAGTCTGCCTTCTTAAAATTCTACCTTGGCAGTGTGCTGCTCTCTCTTACAGACTGGCTTTCGATAGTTAGAAAGACTGGCCGGTGGTCACTGCCTCCTAGTTGCTTCCCAACAGTTCTGGTAACATTCAGTTCCATGTCTGCTGAGTGAAAGGCTAGGTCTGGTGTCGAGGTGGTATGAGTATAGTAAATGTTTTTTCATCCTGTGTTTAAAGAGATGTCAGCTCTGTGGCTAAGTCAATGTGAACGCTTGATAATGCCAGGGTGCCGAGTTCGATCCCAGCTGCGGGCCATGTGCCTTGCGTTGGTTTTGACAGTGGTATCAGGGGGCCGACCGTCCAGAAAGAAATGGCAAACTACTGGACATAAATTTGCCTAGAGAAACCACAACAGCCAGAGGCTGGTGAGGTTGGTTCTGCCATGTCCTGTAAAAGGATAACTGTGTGGGGACAGCACATTTCTTTCATGTTTTGTTTAAACATTAATATATAGTAAATGTTTTTCATCTTATCTTTGAAGGTACACAGCACGAACTGAAGGAAATGCCACAACTGTGTATGCAATTCTGCCAGACTGGCCTGCCACTGGCAACATAACCCTGGGTAGTCCTATTGCCTCAGCCTCAACAAATGTCTCTCTGGTTGGATACCCTGGCAACTTCCAGTATACATCATTAGGCTCAGGTGGAATCACAGTGACCCTTCCACCAATCCCTGTCAGCAGAATGCCGTGTGAATGGTCCTATGTTCTTCGACTGGAAGGTCTTCAAAATCAGAAAACAGAGCTGGATGAATCTGCATATTCAAAGAATCTTCAGGCTTTAGAGATGAGAAAAGACTTTCCTATGCCCAAAGTTCCCTCATTCAGAGTAGTGTAAAACTATTCTATAGTTGTTGCATCTGTATTATTGTTTTTGTGAACTATTTTCCAGTTCTGACCATGTACAATTGGTTTCATAATTTTGCTATAACTTATGTATTACATAACTACCTCATCAGTGAATAAATTTGTTGTGCATCAATGCTTGTTAGTTGACTTTTTAAAACTATTAAATCTTAACACTAAAACTTTAACATTAAAACTGTAACAAACAGCAAATGTGACAGCAAAAAAAAAAAAAGCAATTAGAGGGCATAAATATCATTTCCCCAGTGGGACATTCATTTCTGCTGAGCATATGGGTTCGCACACTCTGCCCACCTACTCTTACTGGCATGGCACATGTTAATTACAGCTTACTGTAAGAAAAGACAATTTTGATTGCAGATGATGGGGGGAAAAAAATTGCAATGCTGCAAATAAAACAGATTTATAGTAAATGCTGGGGCGCAGGGGATCAAGGAATAAAAACAGATGTATATGAAATATTAACAAAATCATTAGAGAGCTGCTGCTATCAGAGTTCTTCTGGAGCTGCAGAGTTAGAATACTCATGCTGATTCAAGCATATAAAAGGATGCAGGAACTAATATAAACATTAGAAAAAATAAAATACTTAAGCAGCTTTTACTGTTACTATGGAAATATATATTATGCACTGAATCCCTCTCCAAGGACATTATTATCAGTTCTCGTTATGCCTAGTGGCACTTGAGGCTTGAGAGGACTTTCCATGCTTTATTGTCCTGTGCAATCTTCAGTGCAGTTTTCCATGTCAGATGCCGCACTCAGGTCACTTTCCATCGTTAGTCTCCATGTTGTTTTTGGGCGCCCCTGTTTTCTCTCCCTCTGGTGTCCATGTGAGCTGTTTTGGCAGGTATATCAGGATTCATTCTCATTAATGTGGCCAAGCCATTTCCATCTTCTCTTGGTTATCATACTGTCTAAAGTTTCTTGGTTTGTGACTTGAGTGCATCTATTGTCATCACTCTGCACAGGAAACTAGCTTTTAAATATGAACTGCAAGGCACAACTAAATTACTCCTCTTGAGTATTATGAATGAAACAAAAGTAGCCAAATAAATTTTGATTCCATTAACACAGCAGTGTTATAGATGCAGTCCTCTGGTTAAACAGTTGTTGGCTGAAACATATATAGTAATTCAGAACAATATTTATGTACACATTTTAAACTTCAAGAACAACTTCAAGAAATTACAACAAAAAAAGCTAATGATGTATTTTCCAGGTGTGTTATATTACAAACGAGACTTATTAATAACCTATACCAGGATCAAGAAGTAATGATCAGATAAGAAAATTACTCACCAAACATTTAAAATAAAAAATAAAAAAAAATTCTGCTGGTATGGGTACTGTCCTCTAGAATTAGTTTGCAGGACCCTTCGTCTGCGTCTTCTCAGTTCAGCTTGACTTATACAGTGACATATTTGCTGTTGTAGGCTGTATGTGATCCCAGGAGTGGGCACATAGCTGAATGTATTATAGGCTATTGGGAACTCCAGCAATGGACACATAGTTGAATGTGTCTGTTATAGGCAAAGTGATCGCCCCCCCCCCCCCCCCCCCCCCCCCCCCCCCCCCCCCACCCCCCCCCCCCCCCCCCCCCCCCCCCCCCCCCCCCCCCCCAGGAGTAGACATGCAGCCAAGTGCATCTTGTGAACTCTCATCCATGACAAGATCATTTTAGATTGTGCTGTCTTTGGAGACTATCAGTGGTATACTTGGCAGTATTCGCAAACAGAATTCATCGATCCCTAATTCTTTATCCTGATGTGTTCATCCATTAATAAATGATGACTTCACTATTAGAACCTACTTTGAGTAATATGTTATAGTGCTGATAGAGAGTGTTTGTGGTTGATACAAATTCTCACTTGTTCAGGGCTAGTTGTGGTGTTTTTGTGATTTTTGTACTCTTTACTCTCCTATAGGCACCCAGCAGTCATTTTCATCTGAGGGAATTCTTGTGTGTGTGGCTGAAGTATAATCATATCCTAAATAATTGTTGCTACCTACTGCATACTTCTTCTTGTTCCTGGTGGAGCATAGGCCCTCAGTGAACTCAAGCAAGGTTGTGCTATCCTTTGCTATTGCATACAGCTCACACTATTTCCTCCCCACTTCTTTTCAACTTCACTCTCTAGCTTCCTTCTCCATGTGTATTTTGGTCTGTCCCTGTAGGTTTCAATGCAAAGACATTCTAGTTATATTATTCTCATGTTTTCTCAATGTATCCTATCCATGCCAGCATCTTTTCTTCACTATTTCGTCCACTGGAACTTGTTTAGTTCTCTCCAAAAGCTCAGCATTAGTGATTTTTTTCATACTATATAATTCCCTCTAATCTGTTCAGGCACCAGTTAATATTTTTTAGCTTATTAGTAGATGGTTTAGTTGTTCTCTGTGTTGTGCTCCATACAACAGTACTGATTTGACATTTAAAAAAAAAAAAAATTCAAAATATTTTTTGACATGCACAAATTTCTGAGTGCAATGAAAGCTGCTCTTGCCTTTTGTATTCATATTTTATCATCTCTATCAATTCTCCCCATTTTTATCTACATTACTGCCCAAATAGATGTACGACTCCACATTTTGGAGTTGGATACCACTAAGAAAAATCACATTACTATTTGCCTGATTTATTCTCATTGTCTTTGTTTCTACCTGATGTATTTTTTAGACATAGTTGTGATCTTGTATCAAGTGTATTTAATTCAACTTGCATCTAGTTCCATGAGTGGGACAGTAGAGAAATATCATCAGCGAAATCCAGATCATCATGCTGTTTTGTAGGATTCCACTGAATTCCAATCTTGGCATTAGCAGTTGCTGTCTTCATAATATAGTCTATTGCCAATAAAAATAAGAGGCGACAAAAGACATCCCTGTTGCATACATGTTCTTATCTCAATAAGTAATTTTAATATAATTGTATTTATTGCATAATTTTCAACAACAAAAATTCTGTTATAGCCATTCTGGTTTGTCCTTTCTTGGGTTTTGTTTCAATATTCTCATACTGTCAGCTCTGAGTGGAAAGACGGAGCTGTAATTTCCACAAGCACCAGATACGCACATGTACAGCTACGAACATATGATGTTAAATGAGACTTTCTGTGCCAATGATTGGATATCTTCTTCTTTGCATTCACCGCCTGTAAACTCCAGTAGAAAGTTCTGGTTATTCATCCATTTCACGATTCTAGTCCTGTTCCAGAAACTGGGTGTTGTGCACACATTCGTTTTACACATCTGACACATTTGCATGCAGATGTTTAGATATGTTATAAAGGTACTTATCACAAACTCACCCACACAGCCATAGTTCCTTTCCTTGCCATCTATGTCGTGGCAGGGCCTGTCCTGCGTTGCTGGAGTGTTATCTTCCCTATTTTCAATGGTTAAAAGTTTTCTCTTTTCTCATGTTGTCATTGCTCACATATTTCCACGCTGTGCTTCTTGACGGTTCATCAGTATCAAAACTGCCACGTTACTGTATTCACATGTTCCTTGTCAGTAGCTTCTTTTTCTGGAGGGAGGGGGCATTATGAAGGGATGTACAAAAATACAAAACATCCCAGCTTCAATAATGAACAGTCGCTCCTTTGGCGCTTCCCCCTGCAGTATGTCTCACTTGCACACAGACACCTGTGGTGCCTCGAAGAGACTCATAACAATACAACCTCCCACAAACATTATATTTGGCAAGCAAACACCGAACAAAACTATCTCATAACACCCTCACAACATAGGACAGGCCCTGCGACCTGCCACAGCATGAATGGCAAGGGAAGGAACTCTTGCCATGCTGACGACTTCCTGATAAGTTCTTTTTTAAAATTTAAACAGCTCCTTCAGCAATTCAGTAGAGCTGAGAGATGGAGACTCTCAAAGCAGCATTTATTCTTAGTTTTCCTTGTCTGTAAACTTCAGTGGAAAGTTTTGCTTGTTCACCCGCTTCTGGATTGTGGTTTTGTCCCAGAACTTGAGTTTTGTATACACCTCCACTTGACAGGATTTTTGGCTTATTTGCCTCAGACAGATACACTCTGACTTTGAAAAAACTCCCCAAATATAGTTTCCTTTTATGACATGCTTGTTACAGGGCAGATGGTCTGTTCTCTTTTCCAAACAATAAGGCCTGGAACCCACACAGGGTCTCTTTGCAGTGTGGAAAAAACCCACATCTTTTCATTGTTTGCATAATTCACATTACTAAATGTTGTCACAGGCAAGTCTACATTATGAGAGTTGCATAGAGTTAATGCTGGTTGATGATTTCCCTCTTGAGGCAGCCACTGATATCACCTTAGTCACATATCTGGTAGGTAGTTGTGCCCCACCAGGACATCACACAAGCGATAAACACCCGGTGACACAAAGTGCCACCATGCGGATGAGGTTCACCCATGGAGAGGTCCCAGAAAACCCTTTCAGCTGTTAGGACATATCAATGCCTCGGCTATATTCAGGTCCTCCGGCAGAAGCCGGGGTGGGGCTTCAAACAAAAAATTGCATCCCACGTGGGGACGACTTTTTAAGTAAAATAAAAAAGCAACCACATATCTGCTGTAAAGCTCATTGGTGAAAGTAGAGAACTGAACAATGAATTAAGGTCTAAAGCTTTTATTAGTACCTTTTTCATCCAGGTCATAGTTTACACAGTACTGTGTTAGGCAGAAAAACACAGAAATCACAGCCTTTTAGACCAGAGATAAAGTACTTTCTCTAAAAGGCACAAAGCTTTAGTGAGCAGTGCCCTTGTCAAGCCAAGCTGGTCCTGGTATATTTAAAGTCCCTTTTTCCAGAGAAGAAATTGAGTTTTCAACATGACTGGCAAAAGAGCAAAATGAAACTGCCAACCTTGATTGATCTGGCAACATCAGAGTTGTCAGCTGCCCAGTAATAATGATTCAATCAATTGATCAGTTATGATCACTTCACAAATTGATAGCATGTAAGTTATTTGTA